GCGCATTCGGCGGGACATGAAGGCGGGCGTGGCCCATCAGGACAAGTTTTTCATGGAGCTAAAGGACAAGAAAGATGGCTTTGGCGTTGTGGCCGATTGGTTTGGGAGGGGCATGCTCAACGTGAGGTCCACCCATCCACATTGACGGCGGCCCATAGATGAAATGGGCGGTGCTTTGCATCGCCGTCAATGAGGGCTGCCTTGTCTCGATGCGTTTGGTTGATGGGATTGAATTGTCCAGCTTGATGGCGCTACGCACGGCAGTAGAGCAGGTGGGGCAGGATGACGGTGTGGGATGGCGATGTGTGGGAATCCTCTACTGTAAGGCGGGGCCGGATGTTGGCGCGAGTGCCTTGGAGGTGACAAAGGACGGCGTTCGCATACTGCACTGCGGGATTTTGCTGCACTTGGACTTTCACAGTGCCATGGAAAGGAACGTTGTTCCGCACATGCGTCGAGTTTGCAGAAATCGAATTGCGGGATGCATTGATTGAAAAGTAGCGCGTTTGAGGGCGAGGAGTTGCACGTGAGCTTCCTATTTCTTGGAGAGAAACGGCATTGATAAATTGGCGACGTGCGTCTGGAATCTCAGTCCGATATTTGGCAAAGGCGATGTCCCTTTGCTGCAGTTTCTGATCCTGCTCACGTCGTGTTAGTAGCGAGCTGGAGTTCCGGTAATTAGATTTAATTAGATTGTTAGGTTGAGTTGCCAAAAATCGTGTGACAGTAGTGTAGCATGCGTTAGAACGGCTCAAACTGCTTTGGCGTTCGCCAGCCATGGGTCGCTAACCAGACTGACGATCATTCGAGAAGGATTGTGGGACCGTCAGGCGAAATCTATGCCGAAGTCGGCATGAAATAGGCCAGGTAAATGAGAGCGCGGGGGCGTCCAGCCCCGGCCGAGCCCAATGGAGGATTGCCTCGCCGAAAACAATCGCCAGGGCCTGGAACATGTCCACCACACGAGAGACAACTCATCAAATGGGTCGGTTGCTGAAAATCGGTCGTTTGCGAAACGCCAGCCAAACATACAGGCATGTGGCACATGAAATTACTTGCTTGTTGCAGGAGTACAATCGTATCTGGTTGCTGCTCTTTATGACCAAAGGTCAACACCGCGGCAAATGCAAAGCAGGTTACCATGGGGAAGGGTTTAATAACCAACGATAGTCAGCAAAAAAAACGCCCATCATTATAGGTACTTCGGGGCGGGCGAAAGGAATGCACGCTGGTCCCGATCTGTAGATCGCGCCCCCACCCCCCCCTCCCTCTTGCCACCTTCCAAATACCTCGGACCCCCTGGGCCAGCAACACACCCCGGGCCCCCGCGACTGCACAACTGCCCGCGTCTGGGCACCCTGGCCACAGCCGTCCCTCACGCCCCATCCCACCCCATCAAATCGCCACCCAATCCAGTCCCCACCCCGTCCGACTCTTCCGATCGAAGCAGCACAAGGGGGGCGCGGTCCCTCGGGATTGAATCGAATCCTGATGGCGTCTTGCCGGACGGCGACGGGCGCCGCCTGGTGCTGCCGCCCGGCGGGGGGGTCCCGAACAGCGGCGGCATCTCAGGCCAGGGTCAATGATCGCGGCCCGTCGTTCTGCCCCGTTTTGGTCGGAAGCGCCAGGCAGCCTGGCGCGGTCGCCGCCGCTGCCCTGGACGGCGGCATCAAGGGACAGGACGCGCGCCGGCCGGTGGCAGCCGAGCCGGAGGAGGATGCGGCGCGTCATGCCCCCGTGCGGGAGGTGTTCTCGATCCAGGTGGCCGGGAGGGTGTCGCGGTGCGCGATCCCGGGGCTGCTGAATTTTTTGAAGTCGAGGCCGGCGGCGTCGTGGGGCAGCGGGTCGAGCGGTGGGGGGTGGGGGGAGGGCGGCGGGGGCGGGGGAGGTGGAGGGGGCGATGGGGTCTGGGAGGCGTTCAGGCTGGCGGCCGTCGAGGAGGAGGAGAGCGACGAGGAGGAAGAGGACGAGGACGAGGAGCAGGAGGAGGAGGAGGGGTGGGAGGGGCAGGGTGAGGACGAGGATGAGGAGGACTACGTCGACCCCACGGCCCCTTTCTACTGCGCGGAGATGGTGTCGGAGGGGCTCATGGAGGGGGCTGGCGTGCCCAGGGAGGTGAGGCGGCGATCCCTTGGTTGATGACCGAGACCCTAGCACAGTGCAGGCGATGATTTGGGCGGCAGCTATCGACAGGCGCTTGTCCTATTCATGGGGCTCACAGTACTACACTGCTGCTGCTGCCAGAGGCGGAGGGATATGTGTCAAACACGCTCTCTGCATCCCATCGTTCATTGCTGAAGGGTGGACTTGGGCACAGTATTCCAGGCAACTATCCGTACATCCGCCCCTTGAGGGCGTCCGACTGCGATGAACAAGAAGCTAAAGGGGAGCGGGTGCCAGTCGGAATTCCTCTTTACATCCCCACACACAATCATTCTGCATTCCAGTTTCCAGGATGGTTTGCATATTTTGCGTTCTTTTGCTGGCCCCTGGCATCAATTTGCAACAAAGTGCATAGCAGGTCTCCATCTGCCAGGCTTTCAGACTCCCTGTAATGGGCAATTGCCCACTGCTACTATCCATTGCATGCAGGCAGCAATTTAACTGCAGAGCCCCAATGCAGTCCTCCAATCCCTGCCTGTTGAACTCTTTTCAAAAGTTATGGGCTGTTGTGAGCGTTTCAGGACATCACAGACAGCATCGTTTGCTGATTGTTGCCTATTGTGTGCCTGGCGAAGGTCGTCAAAGTCTGTGAATGCAGCCAAAATAGTTTGAATTTGTTCTCAGACTCGTGCACAACGTCTTCCAAGGCAAAACATTGAGGAACAGTGTGTCACACTAGTCTTACCCATGACAGGGTGCCTATTGCATGGCAGATCGCCCTTTCTGCAAAACACTTCTTGCTTCCACATCAGTGACAACTCCAGTGACAACTCCACGCCCAACTGGTGCCTTCCTCACATCCAGCGCAAGAAAACCAGAGCAATGCCACCCACCATTTCTTCTCCCTGTTTTCAGTTCCTGCAAATGTGCGATTCTAAATGCACAACCACGTTTGGAGGTGTTGCGTCATCTGCTGGGAGTTTCAGATTCAGCAGTCTTAGTCTGCTTGGCACTATTCAGAGCTATTCCCAATCTTGAACCTGTGGTAATTGGAGGTGGAGATGCTGACTTTCCTGATTTAACCACTTTCAAATTATGTATACACAGCAAATTTGATGTTTTGAACATGTGTGTCTGCTGGGTATGTGTGCTTAAAATTGTCCCTGTCTCCAGAAACAATTTAACGTCAATAACAGCAGGAAGAGTCTGCTTCTTGTTTTCAACTTGGTGGCTAAGGGCATCTCAGCAGCTGGCTCCGACAGCTAGAGACCCCGAAAGCTGCCAAAACAGAGAAGAAACTCAGACAACCAAATACCACTGGCTCTGTTTTGTTCCTGCATCCCCAGTTAGTCTGGTAGATTGCATTCAGAACATCAGGCTTAGCGTGGACTTTGGACTTTGGCATTTATGGCTGCAGCATTCTGGACAATATGCTTCCAGATTTATGCCCAAAGTTGGCTTGGCAGGTGCTTGGGCTATGTCATTTGTATTTGATCAACTGTAGTCAGAGAATTTTTCTCTCTGTGTGGAGAATGCCTGTTTTCTGGCCAGTGCAGCAGCACAACATGCAGACTGCCTCCTGGCTATACCTACTCGCCCATCTGGTGATGCTTCCAAGATTTAAATCAGTTCAGGAACAGAGGAGTAATGTGCAATGACTCACAGTTCCCATAAGGCATTGCGAAGAACAATGGCTGGGCCTGTTGCTGGTCTTGCACAGTGATAAACGAACCACTCAGTGATGCAAATGATCCAATTCCTTCATTGTTGTTTCATTGTATCAACACTCCCACCAGGCTTTCTGTGCTAGTGACCCCTTGCGAACTTGCTTGTGTGCACAGTTCAGATGCTTGGTTGTGGCAGAATGCCCACTCTGGCACTTACCGCACTGGGACTATTGGCCATTGGCACAATGGTGGTATCTGATCCACATTCGTTTGATTGCTGTTGCCGGGTTCTGGCACAGGGGGTGCAGCACCACAAAATAGCCCTGTTGGCCGTAGTCTCTGCCTCTGTATTCCATTTACCCCTTCTATTTCCTCAATTTCGAAGCTGCTATGATGTCAAACTGTGATGGGTATGCATGGTGCCAAGGAGTGGTGTGTGTTTGCACTGTTTGCAGGTGGACCTGTTTGCTGGCCTGAATTGTCAGCCTGGATTTACTTGCTCGCAGTCAGAGCTAAAAAAGGACTTGCAAACACTTTCACAGTGAGTTGCTGTGAATCTTGTTGGCGTTATGGTGGGGAAAGTCTGGCAAGGGGGTGAACAGTGTGCAAGGGATTGCGGTGCAGCTACTGCCCATGGTCACAGGGGATGCAACACAATGCAGACAAAAGAGTCATCGATGCATCATATTGTGTGGAATGCATTCTGGATTGGATCTGCAGAACATGGATATACTGAAACGCTGTGGTTTTATTGCGGAACCAGAGGGTGACAGCATTTGCTTTCGCACCATTGGCACCTTAACACTCATGATCTTGCCTGTGATCACCTCTCCAGGTGTAACGGCCTTTTGGGCAAGTGTAGCAAGCAGAATTCACAAAGTGCTATGATGTTGCTGATGATGCAATGTGCCACAGTGGTAAGGTGTGCTGTATGCTGTTTCAAGCTGACCTTGTCACATGGCAATTCTTATTTTCCATCGTCTATTCCAATTTCATTTTCTCAATTTCATCCGTGCTTATCTTCTGTGTGACTTTCAGAACAGAGGGCATAGACAAGGTGGAAGTGCGTGTGACTCCCATAAGGGGAACAGCCGGAAAGAAGTGTCAAGTTCGATTCATCTTTTCATCCAAAATATACCCTGAGATGAAGTCTTTCAAAGTGAGTGGAGCAACGGCTGTCCCACAAGAGATAGTTGATTCGGTCATGGATGTATACAAGAGCATGAATGAAGACGAAATTCTACCACAGAACAACATGAAGACAATTGGCATGATGAGAAATACGATCGAAAAATGGTGCGTAGCCAGGACTGGTGCTAGACACTGCTGTGCATGTTCATTCTGAATAGAGGTCTACAGGTCCAAGCCATATCCTGGTGTCCACTTTGTCAACTTGCTAGACTGTGAATGGTGTTCAGCTTTCAAGTAGTGGATGCGGGCTAAGAAAAAGTTTCTTAATCAGTATGTACCACCATTGCCTGCAAAGGCCCGTTTTGTGTGTTGAGAACAACTGAAGCAAAGAAATAAAGGAAATTAATTGGCTTCCATGATGTGGTCACCCACCATGGTGTTGAAGACGTTGGTGATTGCTACAGTGTGCAAACAATATTGCCTTGGAAGCTGCTCCTCTTATTGGGGTCTTTGGTAGCCTTGACAGCTTGGACAGATGCAGCGAAGCTGCTGGCGTCTTGGCTGGCGAACTGTACTCTTCTCTCTGTTGCATGGCTTCTTACCTCATGTACTCTTTTGCAAGCCCTACGCATAGCTTGCTGCCATGGCTGTGGTCCACTTCATCTATTTGTACAATCTGGCACAATTTCAGGAATGGCTCATCCCCTTGATTGGCATGGATGTTCTAGTGACCCCCTAAAGTCAATAACTATCCAACCATCCAAATACACCGCAAGCAAGATCTTGTGTTTGTGGCGTGGTCTCCTTGAAGGTATCAAGAGAGAGGGTACATCATGTGCTACATCAAGCAATTTGATGGTCTGGAGACAGGGAAGGTTTCTGCCCGAGTGGTCGAAGGCCGCGTGAACAAGGTCAAGGTTGTGTTCGTCGATGAGGAGGGTAATGAAAAGAAGCATGGAAATGCGACGCCAGAGTCGATGGTCAGGAGAGAGGTGCTGTTTGTGGTGAGTGTGGTTACTTGTTTGATGTTCAGCAGGCACCCGTGAGGTGTGGAGGTAGCTCCTCCTGTTCCCACCTGGGTTTTGAGTTCAGGACTCTCCCCATCTGTGGCAACAGATATCGATGAGTGTTTGATTCTGCCATCCAAAATCAGTGACAACTTGCATGGGTCTGAGTTCCTGAGGGCTGAAGGCATGCTGCAGACAGGCCATTTGCTTGACTGCACAGAGGTAATCGCTCTTGCTTTTTTTCAAATTTGCTGTTCTATCACATTGTCACGGCTTGTCACCGCTAAGCACACCGCCAGTTTGCAATGTGTCCCTGCATGGGATTCGATGGTGCTACCATCAACTGTTGGTCTTGTGGTGCCTTGTTTTGTTGCAGCCAGGAATGTTGTACAACCAGGAAGACAGCCGCCGTGCCCTGAGAGACCTTATCGGGACTGGCATGTATGAGAATGTCCAAGTTCTGCCCGAGCAAACCAAGAAGGATGAGCGCAAGGTGGACGTCACGGTGATGGTCAAGGAGAGGCCAATGAAGACCACTGAGGTGTGTAGAAAGTTTGGTAGAGAGCTAACTACTTGAATGACTAAGAGAAATAATCGTGCGTGTTTAAAGTGACAGAACACAGCCTTTGCACGCGCAGCAATGCCTGGCATATGACTGTGCTCAGAACGTCCAGAACATATTCTTCCTGAATGCCAAGGTCTAAAACCATTGAGGTACGATTTGTGTTGCTTGGCGTGCACCTCCTATGGCAGCATTGCCCTCACACCTTCAGGACAACGATGGGCACCTTGTGCCTCAGAGACATGCCCCTGCCCTGACTCCATCTTGACGAGCCCACCAAGATGGAATCGTGCTGAGATTCAGATCGCGCGGTTTGCTGAGTGCACTGCCTGCCCTTGTGTTTCTGAGTGCTGGCTGTTGGCGCAACATGTAAACCAGACTCTTGCTGTGAACATTTTTGGTATAATGTCTGGAAATATGTCATCAGGAACAAGTCTTGTTGAAGGCCTTGTGTTCGATGCAACAGAGCCTCCCTTGCCCCACTATAGTCAAGACAAGGACAAGTGCAACCCAGTAGTTGAGTGGAGTGCACTGATGTTCCAGCTGCGTGAGTTTTGGTCATATTTTTCAATGCAATCACACTGCCCTTGCATCTGTGCCGCTCCTTTTGCTTGCCTCGTTGGTAGGCATTGGAAAATGCTCACAGCTGCTGAAGGTGATGATAACAACGTGGAAAAACAGTGCTCATAGCCTGTGCTCTTGTGTTGTTGAAGGTTGAATGTGACTGGAGAGTGAAGAGCAGGAACCGAGTACCCATGTTGGAGAGCCTCATTCCTGGGGGCACGATCGTTGTCGATCACAGGAATTTGTTTGGTAAGGGCCACTCCCTCACTGGAACAGTGACCACATCCAACATAGTGGACCCCCAGGATTTGGGCTACAGGCTGGAGTACAAGCGCCCGTACATTTATGGGGAAGCTGACCCCAAGCGCACGGGACTCTCCATCAATGCCTTCAACTCCAGAAGATTATCAGGTATGTGGAGGTGGCACTGGCCTCTGAGCATCGATATGTGTGCTGTGCTGTCAAGTGCGTGAAGGATGTGGCCACAGTGAAGTTCGGAATCAAGAAAATTACATCGTGGAAGTGCAAAAGAAATTTGTGTGAACGCTGTTGCTGCAAGCAAACTCAAGTCAGCAGTAGAGCCCCCCCCCCCAATGTTGCTGGCGTTGAAAACTTTCAGTTTGGCGTTCAATGCACCCTCAATGTCAAGATATCGGATAGGAAATTCTGTCATGGAATCTCTGCAGAACTTAATCACAGGTCGACAGTGCTCTGTGGCTGAAAATTCAGCTACTTCTGCTCCTGTGTGTATATTATGCTAACAAATAGTACTCGATCTTCTCCACTGCCCTCCGAGGCACTCTCTGCTCCCGTGTTGCTCATTTTCCCCATACCTCAAATGTCCCTATTGCTCGCCAGGTGTCTTCACTGCCGGCCCCACTGGTGCAAATGTTCCCCCTGTCTATGTCCACAGAGCTGGGGCCAAGGTGTCTGTGGAGCAGCACTACAACTGTAGCAGCAAGGGCAGCTTTGGCTTTGTGGCCCAGGAGATCACAGCCTTTGATGAGGCTGGGTCTGTGGCAGCGCGGGGCTCCCGGAGCCACAACCAGGCGGATGGCCCTCCCACCACTCTTGGGGTGGAGGGTCAGGACCAGCAGTTGATGCTTCAGTGGAACGTGGTCAGGGACACTACTTACTCTGTCAACGGTACTCCTGTTGGTGCCAGGGACTCTTTCCAGGTTAGCCGCTCTGTTTCGACTGCCGTCATGTTTAACAGCAATTGTTTGTACTTTCCGCACCTCAAAAGCGGGCTGTTGTCCTCCTAGCACTGCTGCCCTCCCCGCCCATGCGGCAGGATAATGTCGTTGACCTTGGAGCTCTGTTCTCAACTGGCTTTTGGCTTCAATCTCTGCAGGTGGATCAGGGGACGGGCATCGGCGGCCTGTTCAATCGCTACGTCCTGACGCTCACCCGCTTCATCAAGCTGAGGGAGTCCAGGGGCTTCAGGCCACCCACAGCCCTGGTCGTTCAGGCACGCCACGGCAACACCACTGGGGACCTGGCCGCCTACGATGCGCACTGCCTTGGTGGGCCCTTCTCAGTGAGGGGCTGCAGAATTGGGGAGGTTGCCACTGCGCGGCGCTTCCTGGAGGCTGCTGTGGAGCTGCGTGTGCCAACGCCAGTGTTCAACCACCAGTTTTATGGCTTCTACGAGTATGGCACGGACATGGGGTCCTCGAAAGAGGTGCTGGGCAACCCCACACAGTACTTCAGGAAGCCGGGAACAAGCTCCTCAAGGGGCGTGGGCCTGAAGGTTGGGCCTGTGCGCGTGGAGTGCGTGCAGGACTTGAACATGGGGAAGACGGGCTCGTTCGTCACCATTGGAGAGAGGTTTTGAAACGACTTGAAGCGGAACAGCAATTCATCTTCCGTGGGGCTGCATGGGAAGGTTGCTTTTGGGGCGATGTTGGGGGCATGGGATGGGTGTCTCCTCCCAACAACCCTGTTTGGAGTTCAACTGTGGGTGGTGCTGAATTGTAGCCAACCATGCACTGCGATGCTGCCCAGCCCTGTTGAGCAGCAAGGATGTGTGTGGTGAGCATGTATGCGTGGCTGGGTCCAGGAGCGTTGGTGGCGTAGGGCCAGGTGTGATGGCTACTGGATCTGGGCTGCTGAGCTGGTGTCTCATCCAGAGTGAGAGTTGGCGAGCGAGTTTTGACATGCTGCCAGGCATGATTAAGTATTGCATGCGCGGTGTATGAGCTTCGCCAAGTGGCTGAAATTGATGGAAATGTTGATCTGAATGGCCAGCCAGCTGACAACACGTGCAAACGCCTGGGTTTCCTGGATGTCGCCAAGTGTGGAGCGCTTAGGCCTTGTGCAGACGAAATGTCTTTGATACAAATGTTCCTCAGGAGAGAAGTTGGTTCCATCGCAGGTGGCGGCTCGTGGCCTCGCTGGCAATTTGTGGTCTTTGGTCGAAAAAGGGGAAATCATCATCCAAGTTCCAGTGGAAACTGGCCCCAGCCCCTGCTGTGCTCCTGCGCACAGCCCCTTCAGAACATTGGTAAACACGCTGAAGTTTTGCCGAGCCAATTGCCATCTGTCACAGGTTGGGGTGTTGCTGCCTCAAGCATTGCCATTGCTTGGTCCCTGCGGTCCACCAGCCGTTTCTGTTTCTCACATCGCCGTTGCACCCTCAGCTTCATTGTGTTAGTGTGTGGAAGAAGGGCGTTGCTGGGCTCCCTCTGTGTCCTGACATGATAGGAGCTGGAGCGGAGAGTTTGGGCTTTTCTGCTTTGGATGGAGGGTTTCCACATAATTGATTATAGGGCGCTGTAGACTGAGGGGGACATGTTTTGTGCTTATATATGTATTTGTTGAGCTGGCCCTAGCCAGGTATTCGATTGGGCGGGTGCTATGCCTATGGTGACATTACTGTGCCAGTAATGTAGGTTCAAACAATGTTGAAAGTGAAAGTTTCGGAGCTTCGAAGCATTGTTTCTGTGCCAAAGTATTGAATCACATCTAAGACGACAGGCATGCATTGAAACGTTGGCACAACGTGATGTGGGCAGTTGGGTTGCTACGATCAAGGGATGAAACTGATTGTATATGATTGACGCCAAATTTGCCAGATTCGAACTAACCTACGTGCTGCATGTGGTTTTTTCAGTTGGCCATGTGGTGACATTGGCATGTGCCAAGGACACTGACAAATGTACGCATTGTCAGTATTTATGCGCATTTGTCAGTGTCTGTATGTTACTACCATAAACCTTCCTGAAACATGCAGAGAAGCAGATCAGCTTCTCTGTATTTTACAGGAAGTGCCAGATGACAGCAAGTGGTCTCATGAGCATTGGGAATCATGGGCGAAAGGACTGGGCGCCGTCTGCTCCATCTCCGTCCCTGTCTGCAGCTAAATATGAAGCTCTGGCGATGGCCGATGAGTATCCAGGCCAAGGGCACGTCTGGAAAGATGGTAGACGTTGATGCCATACAGCGGTACATTCAAACACTTCGCTTTTTGAAATTTCAGCGTGGTGTCAAAGGGCATTTCGTGTGATTGCCATCATTGGCCTTAATCACTGCCCTGGGAATGTGTCAGACAAAGAAAATATACTTACAAGATCAAAGTCTCCAGAATACGCAACAACCAACACACTGTTGCAATGTTCAATAGACATGCACTCATGGTAGCAACACGCCACATAATAGACTCTGTTATCCCCAATCCTCTTTTGATGCAAATCCGACACCACCTTCTCATAGACTGTTCCCAAGCTATTCGCCAAAGTTCTCTGCTCCTCTGTCCACTTGCACATGCATCTCTGGCTATATGAGAACCCTTCCCACGTCAAACCCAAAAAGGGCCCAACACGTTTATCAAAAGGTCTCCAATAGAAGTGCCAAGATCAAAGTACAGCCTGGCTCCCACAAAACAGACACCAACAACCCACACACGATTCCCAATCAGATATTGAAGATGCCTGAAGACAAGCGCCAGAATATATGACACCGGCATTGAAGACCACACCAGAATGTCGTCCAAGTATTCCACAGTGCCATCTGCTGGCCCCCCACTGCTCATCAACTACCCGATGGAGATCCCTTCCGGGCTGCTGCTCTGGAATCCTTCGCCCAGAGACAGTCCTCCCGACTCAGAGACTTCTCCCTCCTCCTTGGCTCCAATCACAGGCTGCTCTGTAGTTTCAAAAAATAGCTCCTGATCCTCTCTGATAATCACAATAGGCTCTGGGTCTACTCGAGTTTGTTTGTTTGCTTGTTCCTTACGTGGATGCATCGACATGACGTCACGGCATCGAGCAATGTAGCGTACCATCCAGTGTGCGAGGGGCACGTCTGGGCCCAACTCTATAACCGAAAACACGCCTCTAATGGCGGCCACAACTGCCACCGAACCCATGGAAACTCCCCCACAAAAACAAGAGAAAATGTCTGCAAGCCAGAAATCAGAGTGATGGACTATTCCTCGGTCACCTCCTTTGCTCGAATGCGGTCACTCACTGAGCTCAAGAAAACTCCCAATCGCCTGCAATGTTTCCAAACCAGATTGCGCAGATTCGATGTATCAACCCCTTCCGAATTTAGCCACTTCTCATGCAAATCGATCACCCCCAGTCGGCTCTTCCCTGATGAACTCCCCCGCTTCTTGGAAGGACTTATTGCAGTCGTGCCAACAGACAGCAAGAAAAGACTGGAACTCAATAGGGAATTGACGAAGCTCACGTTCTACCAGCAAATGTGGCGGCAGTACCTTCTTCTCTATCCAAACGTTTTCCACCTTCACCTTCTTTAGCACGGGTTGTTCCACCTCAGTCTTGCCCGCAAAATCCACAGTATGCCTGCACTTTCGCTACCTCCCACTATCCCTATCAGCTGCGGAGGGCCTGCTGAACTTGGATTGGCCGACTTCAGAGGCACAAGTAACTTCCAGAGACAGCTTGAGGGACATGTGGAATGACACAGACCTTGAAGAGGACTTCCCTCAAGCTGCTAAATACTAGAGAAACACAAAGATGGCAGAAGACTTCACAGAAAATGTGGCACACACCAGCTGTAGTATTCACTTCACTTATCCGGAACTGACCAACCAGAATGCACCAACGGTCAAGACAAACACGAATTGAGTGACCTCCAGATCACAAAGACTCCCAGATTACTCGCACACACCACAGAAGAAGGTGGCCACCGCTTTTCGTTCAGGGTTGTGGTGTGCAATCAGTCGATCAAACAAACTCAAGCGATATGGATCCATTCACCTCACGCACTGACGATTTTTAGCACCACTTTGAAACGGCTCAGCAATAGCAATCAGCTCACCAGAGCATGCCAAATGCTGTTTGCGGAACTGACCACCTCTTTCAACCCTTGACGTCAGTTCACCTTCCAGAGAAGCACGAATTCTGTCGCCGTTCATAAAGTTCCGTCACAAAGCACCACAGCTGCAATCACTCACTCACAAGATCTGCGACCGACTGACCCACGTAAGGCTCAATGTGTCGAACGACTCAGCACCTGTCAGCAAGATGCCTCACACCTGCACTGACACTCAGAAACACTCGAGGGTCTCACCGCCACCGGTCGCTCGGAAGTGACTCAGAATTGCAGCAGCAAGGCTTTCCAACTTGTCAAGGAAACACTCAACTGGCTCAGAACTGAGCGCCGCGAGCAACAAGAAGCCCACAATGAAAAGACACCCCCTTTTCTACATATACCACAGCCGACGCCCCCCTCACCTAACGGGCGATTCCCCTTATCCCACACAGAATATTCTGAAAGCCACGTTGCTTTGTAAGTACATTCACAGTAGCTCGCACCCTGAAATCACAAAACGTGATCCACACAACATTATGTACCCCCCCCGCCAGTGCTTTACAATACAATTGACATGTTACAACAACAGATTACAACACACTTCACTCTGTAGCGTTTGTCCCTTACACCACTCCAACGTACCTTGCGCCCTCACAATGCGATGTTTAGGTGTTCACACACCATCCCGTGACGCTCCTTCCGGTCCCACTCAAAACATGTTGCATATTATAACAATCAACATTACACTATTCAATTTTTCATCAGAACATGCAACTTCACGTTTTTCGGATTCACCACACCTCCAGCGCCCCTGAGGATTAATTCTTCAAAGGCTACGTGTTCTTTGCATTACCGACCCTAAAATTGCATACAACCTATTCAAGACTTATGTTTTGGGATCCGTTGGATACGCCTTTCCTATTTGGGGCCCCTTTCTCACGAAGACTCAATGGCATCAGTTGGAGAAAGTCCAGACTCAATTCTTTCGCCAAATTCTTTGCCTTCCTGGCCATACGCCACTTGGGATTATATATGCTGAAATGGGAGCACTTCCTTTAGAATTTTATTTATGGAGACAATTGATGCGATACTGGAATCGAATGGTGGAACTACCCAATTCTCGGGTTCATGGCGCCATTTTCAAGTCCGGGTTTCAACAATTCTCTACCATTCCTCGCTCATGGTATGGACGGATCATTGCCTTCTTCCATCGATTCTGGCCAGCTCTCAGTTTCACAGAGGCTACGCCAGTTGACATACAGTCCTTTCAACGGATATACAAACATGTCCACATCGCCAATGTCTTCACCAGCCCTTCTTCAAGAATTCAGCGTTGGTACAGACACATCAAGCCAGTCTACCGCTATGAACGATTCCTGTCAACCTTACAACCTATTTCCTTGAGGACTTTCTTCCTACGCTTTCGCTGTGGGGTGCATTTCCTGGAAGTCGAGAATCAACGACACCAAGCGAGACAATCCATTCCAGAATTTTCGAGGCGATTGTGTCCGTTATGCCACTTGGCACATGAAGACGAGCTCCATTTTCTCTTCCACTGCCAAGCCTACAACACCATCCGTCGAAGCCACTCTCGTATTTTTCAATGTCGCAATGCGAAAGTACTCTTTGCTACAGTTCCAGCTCGACAGCTTGCGAACACACTTCGTTTGATGTATTACCATCGATTATCACTTTTAGGCAGCGAAATTTCATAGTTCATACATTTAGTTTGTATTCTCCTTAGATTCCAATGAACCAATCACCGACACTGCTTTGCTCAGGCAAAATAGGAAGCTGACGGCTACCTCATTGCCTTGTTCTGTAAAAAATGATGATGATGATGATGCGATTCTTGGGCACGTGTGAACATCACAGCACTCACAAAAAACCAAAACAGACCATTAGAGACGAAAAAAAGGACACAGTCAGTCAATGCACATCCTCCTATTACCAGCCCTCGTTTCTCTCATCACAATTTTGTTCTCGCAGAAAATTGTCTGGGGCTCATGCGCCCCGAAACAATGCACCCAGCATTGATTAAATGTTTCAAAGCCATAAAACCCCCCTTCTACCCCTACTGTAGTATTCCCCCCCCTGAAAATCTTGCCACTAATCTCCTAAAATGTTTCCTTATAATTAAATTTCGGGAGCCCCGGCCCATCCTCGGGTCCCAATACATTCGGGCATCTGTCCCACTCCTGTCGAATGCGCCTGGCTCCTTGGCGCTCCCGACCGCGCGCGGGCTGCCCACGACTCCGAGAGACTCGCCTCTTGCTTCCCAACCGCCGGCGTGGCCACGCCCAATCCGCAAAGGGCCTCCGAGACCGCTTGCCACACTTCCATTCCCGGGTGGGACGGTACCCGCCCCACCATCGCATCCATTGGGGCGCCATCCGTTCCCGTCCCGCCCACCAGCGGCCCAGCCACCCTCTCACTAGGTTCGCCACCCAGAACAGCCTCTTCCCCGCCATTCTCACCGCTCGGCCCGTCGCTAGGGCCCGCCATTCCGCCAGCACCCGCCAATGCCTCACACACCGACCATGCTTGCGTCACGGGACTCGCACGCCCCGCCCCCACTTCCGTTCGGCGGCCCAAAAGAAGCTCGAGGACGGCGCCCAGCTTGTCCTCCAAAACTCCCATTCTTTGCTCCAATTCGCGGAGCCCCACGCTCGCCGGTTCGGCATGACCGAGCGCGCCATCCGGGGTCTCAACCAACGTGAACGCCTCATCCTCCCCGGCGCGATCAGCCCCCAGTCTGGCCCACAGCACTTCGCCCTCTGTCGGCCTTCTCGCTGCCATTGGCCGCTCACGCGGGCGCTTCACCAAACTGCCTCACGGAGCAAGGAAACGTGGGGGGGGCGGGGGGCGCGGGGGGGGGCGTTGAGCCGGGTGCGGGCAGAGCGTCCCACCGGGCCAATGCACCATTGCGTCATCAGATGTCCGACTCTTCGTCACGTCATTTTCATTGGGTTGACCTGTCACCTCACGTCTCTTCCTTTGCGCTGTACTTTACGCTATTCCATGCGCATTTGGCCCATCGCTTTGCTCACTGAAGTGGTGTTTCTCGTCACTTCGCCCGGCAGCAAAATGTCGCGTTTCCTCTCCCTCACTTTTTCATACCATGGCCACCAAATCCTCCACAAAACGGGAGAAAAGAAAACGATAACACAAGTGTACTTAACCAGGCCTTTGACAGCCCATTTTTGCCTGATTCTACTGGTGAAATCAAGCTGCCTTTCTGCAGCACTTCACATTGTGTTATATACTATTCCCAGTTACAATCTTGCATATATCCGACCCACCTACACTTTGTATTATCAACATTTGATCCGTTCCGCCACTTTAGCCAGGCCATTACTCCACTTTTCGCTGACCTGAAAGGTTTAACAGTTGTGAAATTTGCTCTGCATTCCTACGAAAGACCGTTATTTGGATGGCTCCGCATCAAGGTCCCAGCCGGAATGGCAACTCCTCTCAGCTCGAATGGCCTCAAATGCCGGTTGTCCGCTACAGCGACCCATGCATCTGGGGCCGCTAGACGCCACGAGCAGTCTGGAGACCCTCGTCTTGTGGCTGGGCTGCTCCACATTTTCTTGGCACCGTTACGTTTTTATTGTTGCTCTGCACAAAATGGCCAAGCGATACGTTGCAATGCGCAAATGCATAACGTGCCCCGGGGCATTGGGCGCACAGTATCACTGATGCAGCGCCGAACAATGCCGCAACAAGGCTCGTTCTCCACTGGCGAAAATCCGCGCTGCGCGTTTCCTTAGGCCTGGACACCCCAATGCCGTGACAGGCGCCGAGTCGCCCATGATTTGGCACAATAGCGAGCATCTGTGATCCTGGGTCCCCGTGGGCGCCATGTTCCGACTGGGCCAGGTGGCGGGCGCGTCGTGCGAGCAGCCCGCGGGATGGGGCCAGGCCGGCCGGCCGCCGCTGCTGGGCACGTGTCCCCGGAAGCCTTCCGACGGGCGAGGCTGGGCACTGGCCAGCCTCGCGGGTCCCGTGCTGGGGGCGCTGTCCGCCCGGGATGCCGCTGCGCTGGCGTTCTCGGCGCTCGGGTCGTTCGCGTGGGTCAAGATCTTCGACCTGCTGGCGGCGAATAACGTCCTGGAGCAGGTTGGGGGCGTTGGGGGCGGGCCCGGTTGCTGCTGGACGGCCCGTTCGCGTCGAATGGGGTGGTGATCGCCGATGAATGTTGGGATGCCTGTGGCTTTTGAGGCTGCGCCCCGTGAGGGCTCCGCCACTTCCGCGCGCAGCCTATTTTGATGCTGGCGTAGATGTGAGACCTGCACCTGCAAATGTGGCAGCATTGGGGGCAGATTCTTGGCGCAGTCTTGAGTTGAGCGTCAGTCTAATGGCCTCAAGTTCCTTCTTCTTCGTAGAAGTTAAGTCGCAAGATAGTCCACATCACCACCGGTCCACTATTCATCCTTACCTGGCCTCTGTTCAGGTGAGGAATTTCCCATGCTTCCTGATTGCGCCCATCTATGCGTTGAGCATTACTTGTTTGTGACTCCCCCCTCAAATGTGTCCATCACCTCGAAAACCTGATCAATGAATGCACAAGGTGGTAAACATTCCATTGCAAGCACGTTACTGTGCAAAAATTGAAGGACTCAAATCGACACCAGGCCACAAAATGTCACAACCAGTACTTTTTCATGAATGTTGCATCAAGCCTGTATTGTGTGTAACAACGATGGGTACAAATTTTGCTGCCAGAATTCTGGTGAAGCACCACATCGTACTGCAGTGTCATCGGATGCGCTGATATCAGGATCGCAGTGCTTTGCCAGTATCATGTGATGTTGGACGATACAATTTGCTGTGAACTGATAACAACAATCTTTTGAGAGAAGTGTGTACGAATCTCTGCAGCGGGGCTGCCTACGCCCGATACCTTGCGCTGCTTGTGCCAGCTGCCAACTTCCTGCGCCTCTTCCTCGTGGGCACAGGAGTCGTCAAAGATGAGGGACTGGTGAAGTCCATTAGCCGCCAGTGCGACAGGACTGAGCTTCTCCGCGGACCCCTCTACTATGTCATGACGCTCATGGCTGTGACAGCCTTGTGTTGGCGGGACAGCATGGCTGGGATGATGGTGGTGGCAGTAATGTGCGCTGGCGACGGCTTTGCAGATGTTATTGGACGGCAGTGGGGCCGAAAGCGCTGGTCGTACAACAGGTCCAAGACATTGGAGGGCAGTGCTGCGATGTTTGTTGCTGGGACCTTGACGGGTATAGGGTAAGTGCTTTTACTCCAGCCCAAAAGCCTTGGCTGGTGTTTTTGAAACTGAGTGCATACTATTGCTCGATTGAGCATGTCCGTTTGCAATGTGTTGTGGTATGCCCAAATGGCTGTGCATCTCAATCGCGACGTCTGAGTCAACTGTGCACCACCTAGATAGCAGTCGATGAGGCGATCGTTTGTTTTGGGCGAGCAGCAACGGCTCGAATGGGAATTTGTGGCCCTCCACTCCAGTTTCCGTGTAACGGTATGTTCCCCAAATCTATCACGCACCCTTCTTCATTGGTGTCACTCGTTGTGCTTGCACAGTTTTATAGCATGCCAGGTGAGCGATGAGTCGGGATGCCACACTGCAAACTTCACGGGGTTAAGCAGTGACCATATTCTCCTACCTCAAGCAGCAGAAGTCCCGAACAGTCCTGCCTTCCTAGCTGAGTGTTTCAAGCATTCTTTGGGGATGTGCCATTGACATGCCGATGGGCACGCATGCCCTGAATGCATCGCTGAAATATCCGACACATCATTTGCCTTCCTGGCAGGTTGATGGTCGTTTTCCGTGGGATGGGATACATCAGCTTTTGCGCAGGGCCCACCTTCTTGGGAGTGGTTCTCATATCGTGTATCTCAACCTTCGTGGAGGCGTTGCCAATCAACAATGTGGTGGACGACAACCTTTCCGTCCCTCTGGTTGCGGGACTGCTGGCTAATTGGCTTCTGATGTAATATGCCGAGGGTAGGACCCCGTGGACCGAAAACGGGAGTTTTGAGAACGCGACCGCAGACCGTTGTCCCCAACCACTGAGGGCTTCGCTCTCGCACCAGTGTCCGACGGGGTGATCTTTTCTGCTCTCAAATTTTTGGGGTGGTAATCTCATAGTTCGCACCTACATTGGTTACAGACCGCTGGCAGAAGAGATTCGGTGTCGGGGCCGCGGGTTTCTGTACTGGATGCTGTGTTGCCATGTAATGAGAAAATCCTCTAGCTGCACCTGCTGGCAAACCATGCCCAGGCGAGTGGGACGAGATCTTTGGCAGCGCAATGGCCACCACACCGGGCCAAGACGCGCAAACTGGGCAGTGCATCTCAGCAGCACAACCCAGATGAGACGAGGCATTCGAGTTCTTCGAATCGACCCTGGTGTGAGCACGATGTGAGGACGGATTGGGCAGCACCGGCAACAACCACCGCGCGGAGCCAATTTCGTCAGTACCAAACCTTTGTTACATCGTTCACCTTCCAAAGTTCCTGCTATTGACACACTTCGCACAGCCTACCGTCACAACCGCCCCGTGCATCCCTCGTGCCGTCAACCCTTGCCAAGGCGCGGCGCCGTGTGCACACCACTGCACTCACAGCATCCGCCGAAGGCGCATGGCGCCAGCACCCACATGCAGCTGTGACTGCGGTGCTCACCTAAGGGAGGAATACAGTACAAGAACTATGTGGTCCTTTCGGCTCGAGCCCACCTGTGAGGGTTTGCCGCCACCAGCATCAAATCTAGGCGCCAACAACTCCGAGTGGACACGGCTCCGACTGTGGCGCCAACAAAATACACCACCCAATCGTGTGCACAACGCAGGGCCCCCCAGCTCAGCAGCCACAGCAGGGCTGGGCTCGAAAGCGAGGCCGCTGCGCAACAGCGTTGCGCCCAGGCCACCTGCCGGATGCCACGGGCCTGACGTGGACCATGGTCTGGAATTGGCCCATTAATCCTGTGGAGGGACGCAGTCCCCGCCGTTTGGTCGCCTGCGGCCGCCATCGCCACCCCACACTGCGGCACCGAGTGCATGAATTGAAAAGGGTGCAAAACCTGATAAAACAGCGGCCGCGGCGCTTTATTGCCAGCAAGAGCCGGATTATAAACATGGCAAGTTCTGAATCTACGTCCCCCGGCACCCCATGCCATGCAGGCCCTGCGCAACAAGTGCCATGGGCTCCGCCGCGCCCATGCCATCCCTGCATCTAAATTCGAGACTGGAATACACACAGACACACACACTATTCTTCACAAGGCGCCGGCAGATCGACCAGCAGGTTTTCATGCCACATAGCGAAACTCCAAACGTACTCGCCCGACTCCTTCGTCTTTGCCATCAGCTGCAGAGGCTGGCCACCCAAGTGGCGGCTCAAGCTGAACTGCTTGATATTGAGGTCTAATTCAAACGTGCTCAGATCCAGTAGGTGCTGCCAAAAATGGAATGTGTACACGTGCTCCGTGTCAAATTTTCGGCCCGTTCGGTTGCGAACGTCCGACATCATCTTCTTTCTGTGGGGCCCGGAGATCGGCTCGCCGTTGCCCTTACAAAACTGGGTTCCCAATACGCGCATGTCTTCCTGGGGGGGTGAATTTATAGACTTCTCCTCGCCAGGACGGTTGATGGTGATCATCTGTGCGCATCAGAGACAGCTCGTTCAATTCCACTGATGCAGGGATGCGTCTGACAAGTGCTGGCAGAGCCTTGCCCATTCCCGTTGCAGCCCAAGGTGATGCACGAATAAGAAAGCCGTGACAGAATTGCCCCCTTCGCTTTCTCTTCCCAAATGTTCGTCAAAAAAACCGAGCTCAAGTCCCGAACTCGAACTCCTCTAAACACAAATTGAAAGAAGCAGTCCGTCAACCTGAGGTTGACTCCGACTGGCTGAGCTGGAACGCGACACGGGCAAATGGCATCAAGGCCAAAAGCTGCTCCATTGCGACAATGGTCAACCACCATTTGGGAGATGCACCATCCATTAAGGTGTCCATCAACATGTCCAGCCCCATTCAGCAATGCATTCAAAGATCTAGCAGTCAGGTGGAAGCCAACGCCTCCCCAGCTGCATTGTCAGGCTGCCATGTGCCTCCTTGTGCCACAAATGCTACAGAAGGCACCCAGGACATTGCAATGCTCGGAGCAGCAGGTGTGCCCGCCAGAAATCCACCGTTGCATTTTGGATCTGAAAGTGCGATTACGTAATGTGAATATAGGATGACCGACAAGGCGGACGGCGCCTCAATTTGGGAAGCACAGCCGTGGAGACGAAGATCGCTGAGCATCACCCGCCAGGTGCATAAGCAGCACTTCAAGACATCATGGGGAAATATGAGCAATGCAGCCTTCCAATCCACAGAACAAGCACACATTTGACCGCAGTTCAAACAGCTTGGAGGCCGCATTTCGGCTGAGCGTCGAGGCCTGGAGCGCCGGGGCCTGGAACCGCTAACAAATGGCCATGCAGTTCCACATGGAAACTAACTCAGTCGGTGACGCCTTCTTGCCCCATTTGGGGCATTGAAGGCTAAGCACGAGATAATCCTGGAGTAGCATGCGCCCTTGGCAGTGCTGTAGCCAAACCAACTAGCCAACTTTGCTAAATCACAACGCAAACATTCAAGAATGAATGAGTCAGCTATTTAGTTAATGGGAGTCAAACACGAATCAATAATCAGGTCAATAATCAACAAACCAACCAGTCAACCAACTGCATTTTTATGTTTTGCAATGAAAACAATACTGCACACTCACTTGGGCGGCAGCCGCTATTGGCGTCAGGATGTGTGGCACGGGCGTCATGCCCGCAACCAAGCTGGGGCTCAGCCGCTTGCCAAGCTTTAGCAGCACCGAGAAGAGGGACATTGCAGGCAGATGCTTCAGGGGCAGTAAGAATTCCTGCCCAGTAAACACGTCGGTGAAATCGAGCTCCTTCTTGAAACGGCCTTGCACGGCCAAGTGCGTGACGCGCCTCTGGCCCTGCGAGTCGCACATGAAAGAGCTGAGGCCGTTAGGAAATGTCGGGTCAACGATGGGGACACCTCTTTGTAAACGTATTTTCTTTGTGCATGCAGGCCGCTATAAATGGACCCAAGGGGCAACCCCGTCTGGCTCAACGCAAAGTCGAGTGTCGTTTCTCAACTGACTGTGCTACAGTATTCCGAAGCGCTCTTGAGTTGTAGACATTGCTGAGCGTTCTATTTGGACACCTGGCAGATGCCCACATTGCGAGAATCCCCCTGAAGTGCTGAAGAAGCACTGCGCAAAATGCACCTGCATGTGAATCTCTGTGTGCGTGATGGCCGACAGGCATTCGTTGTGTGTCCACAGGGCAACGACTGGCCCTTTCAACTCCTTTAATGTTTGTTCCATCGACCACAATGGCAACCCTAAACCTACCAGCAATGACTTGTCATCTCAAGAGCGGCAAAGGCTCAAGAAGAAAACTAACAGGGGCATGGAGGACTTCCCCCGTACAACAAGGGAACAAGGGGTTGGAGGGCCTCACAAGGGACAGAAACTCCACTTTCACGTGACACATGATGCACACCTGATCTTCACCCCCGCATAGCGCATTCAACAGCTTGCATGCGAGGACGCACCTGAAAGAGACCTTTGGGCGTCGAATCCAGCCCAGCGACCCACATGACAGCCTGGCCTTTAAATAGGTTGCTTTCAAAGTGGAAGGGCTCTCCCGTGTTGACCCTGATTTTGTCAGGGTCAGCCCCCCGTGTCGCCCGCTGCCCAGAATACGACGTATTCAGAGCAAACAGGCATGGCCTGTCTGGCCAGTTCTCGTAATCTGCTGCTTGTGGGATAAATCTCCTTTTCGCTGGCTCAGGTCGCGCGGCCTTTGCCTTGTCGGGCAACTCCATGCTTCTTGACCTGCTGCTTGCACCTGGCTCTTCGCATGGCCTTGATCCACTGCACACGGCCGATGACCATCTGTTGCCCGTCTGCAGATCGCAGGTGCTGGGCTGCTCTGGGAAGTTCGAGGCGTCCTGGAGTCGCTTGAGCAGGACACCGTGGGCACCATGGTATTTCTTGTGCATGGTGGATGATTCGTGGAACCACGCCTGCAAGAACATAAGGGGCAACATGAAGGGGAAAGAGGTAAGTGTGATCAGAAGCTGGGTTTGGCATCCAACCAGGACCCTGGCTCAAACATATGGCCCAAAACAACCACACAAAATGAGAGGAAATGGCACACACACACACACACACATGAGAACAGAACAGAGACAACTGGGAAGGCCACTGAGGATTGATCGACTGCAGAGCACAATGGCTTTGTTTGAATCAACAATATGAAAGAATCAATACAAGAATCTGGATCAATGCCAGTGCCACCCTTGGTAGTGTGTTAGATCCTACACCTGGGGATCTACAGATCGTGAGACTCCCACCAAGATGAACAATCGCGAACTGCTCATCTCTCATGATGCTTGGCACTGCAAAATGCAGAGCAGCCAGATGGGGGTACAATGTTGCAGGATGGCAACCAGCAGGTCTAAGGGCATTTGCGCACAGGCAAATTCCTGACATTGTCCATACAATACCTTGTGGCCCATATATCCCGCAACCCCGATCAGCAGGCATCCCAAAGGGGCAGCCCACCAGCCCAGCATGGCCAAAATCATGAACGCCACCACAAAAGTCTGCAGCACCACAACGTACTCCAGCTTGGCGATCTCTGCACTCTGACACTCTATCATGCACTCCAACCGCTGCTGCTGCTCAGAGCCTGACTCAAAGAGAGCAATGTTGAGCTGCCTGTGCAGCTTCAGCTGTGAGTGCAGTTCAGCAACGTTCTCCTCCGTCTGTATGAGCTCCTCCCCAATGGCCATGAGCTTCGCTGGAAGGGAATCATCGGTAGCGGATTCCCTGTGGATACAAGTGCATGGGGTTGCTCAGTGACCCCAAACACTAAGCCCACAGGTGCACTTGGCAGGAATCAAGGACCCGCAGGCATACTGACGCCAACACGACACCAACAACTCAGACAGCCAGATTGGCGCATATGGCACCATGAACCAGTGCTGCAACTTCAGCGCCGAAAGCCAAATAAGATAGCCTGCACGAAGCAGCCCTTCCCCGAAAGTGTTGTACTCAGCGATATGCCCATAACTTTCAGCCAACAGCCCACACATTACAGAGGTTCGTGGAAAGCGAGTGTTCGCAAGACCAGATAGCACATAAACAGCAGCAACACAAATAGCAAACAAAGAACAAGAGACTAACTTCAAAATTTGCATAACAAATTCTGGACCCTGAACTGTCATTACTACCTATGGCCTCAAATGATACTGTAAGCGTGCAACAATCTCCAGAAAGGAGCAGTGCCCTTAGTGTGAAAGAAGCTGGTGCCAGTTGCCTGACGAGCAGAAACACCCATATCCAGCTGCTCCATCCACAGGGTTGGGAAGGCCCATAATTGCCTATTGCTTTACTGAGCTCAAATGACCAGAAATGCATTGTTTCACTGGAATTGTGGTACATGCAAAACAATATTGCAAGCATCACTTGATTAGTACAACAAGCACTAAAGCAAGAAAAGGCAACATAACAGTACAGCAGCCTTGTGCACTTGTGCGGCAGAGGCGCGTACCCATCATCGTCATCAATCACCACCTCTGTGAATCTGTAGAACAGGGGCTGGTTCTCGAACCTTTGGTCTTCTGTAACGTGTCGAATTACACCAGACTCTATCATGCGGTTGCCCAGTTCCACCGCCTCCTCCACACACTCAACAATGCCCTCAGATATCATCCAGCTCACAGCCTCTTCCCCAAGAAAGCAATTTTTGAATATTTTCCAGTGCCATTGCCTGCACACAACAACAGCAGTTACTAGTGCACACCAGCAGTGGTGTCTGCTGTGAGATGCGCAAAGGCGCTTGTGCTCTTCTGAGCTCTGGGAGCCTTTAACCTTCTGAGTGACAGGTACATCTGAGTATTGCATTCGTCCACATTGGATGATGCATCCTTGTGTCCAAACATTGCCTTGCCCCATCTTGCCAGATGACAAAAGACAGGCATTTAGGACTACCAAGCCCTATTCAGGACCATAACAGGGCTCGCAGCTATCAGAAAACAAACATGACAACTGTACTGTTTATGCAACACAGCCATTCCAAACATAAAAGCGATTGGAGGAACCAGGCTATTCAGCCACAGGGTCTGTGCATGTTTGTTAGCAACTACGATTCGCAATGAGCCACAATACACAGCGCTTGATACCCCAGCCTATTTCGTTTGCCTCTTCCACAGAACCTGTCATTTCGTGCCCAGGCTCAACAGGTCGTTTGTGCCCAGGCTCAAAAGAACTTTCAGCTCCATGCAAATGCTGATTGGCTTGGAGAATCGGCACTTTGCTATTCACCAAATGAGAGCAGGCAAAGGGGCATCCACAGTTGACGATGCTTGCCCAACACAACCACTTAATGCCAGGTTCCCTTTCGTCTGTTTCAATGAATAGGCAGGCGCTACATGGGGTGCCCATTGTTCGGCAGCATTAGCCACCCATCAGAGCAACTTTTCCACCTTACATGGCTCATTGGTTGCTGACACACTAATGGGACCCAGTGCGATCACGACAACCTCAAGACGCACCTGTCTTTCAGCTCCACATTCTTGGACATCCGGAACCCCAGTTCCAGCAACTCCTGTTGGGAAAAAACAAGGCAGACTTGAAAAGCAGCATCAAGCTGCAGCCCCAGCAACGTGCACAAGACCTACAGCTTCCCACAAATCAGTGTGCATCTCAGCATGCAATTCCATTCCCATGCTGTTCATGCCCTGGAGATGAATCCTGGCCATTTGTGCCAATGCCTTGGACATAATACACGATTTGAACAGATGCACTTGTCCTTATGACTCTCATTGCAGTCCACTCTGCCACAGAATCTTGACAGGATGAGTGGATGTGTTGCATTGTGCACCACATGTTCCTCAAGGCCAAAAGCGGTGTCTGTTGCAAAGACTAAACTCACTGCACAGGTTTCCCAGCCTCATTCACAAACAGTGGGAAGCACCCCCTGTTGTGCAGCCTTGTCATCGTGTCTTCAAACTGGGCCAAAGGTGCCAGTAAATTCAGCAATGAGCATGGCATCTATTAGCACAACAACCTCTCCACCGAAAGCTGTAAATCGACCAGTTGGTTCAACAGGGTTTTCTGCTGAACCCCAAACTGCAACCTAGAGCCTCAACTGTTCAGCGTGCAGCTTCAGCTAATGAGCATCACCTTAGAGCCATGGCAATGCAGAACATAATCAATGCCCAGCCAGTACCACATTTTGCCCCGCCTCTGTTCACACACATGTACTTTGCTTCCTTGCTATCCAGGTTCCTTCGTTCTGTGCACACTTCTGCTGTTCCAAACTTATGATGATTTCTCCAGTGCGGAACTAGCCTCCATTGACTCTTGCATAATAAGGGTCCGTCCTTTCTCCCCAGTGCCACACGTTTCCTACATCTCAAGAACACAAACTCAGACAGAGGACGAAGGGCTGGGCCCAGATTTTCAGCTCACGTTGGTTCTTCCCGTCGCAGAGGAGGGGCCGCTGGACCTCGCGGAGTCGTTGCTATTCTCGGCCGCCGCCTGCAGGCCCACGGGCAGTGAGACGTCGGGCACGGAGGAATCGTCAGACCTCGCCGTCCGCGCCACCGTGGCGCTCCTCGAAGTGGGCTCCACGAAGATGGAGGCCCCTGCGCGACAGGGCAACGCGCGCAACACTGTCAACCATCACTTTCGCTCACATAACACTTTTAATCATTCCGCTGGCAGTCCACCGGCCCCACGAGAGGACGTCGCGCCTCTCAGCCTGCCGAAAAAGCGGCATGGCAATCTCCCCAGGCATGCACAAATCCTCTCAGGCCATGCGCAATTCCAATCCCCCCCCGGACGAGGAGGGGACGGCGATTGCGACGCCGGAGGGAGGGAGGCGGCAGGCGGCGGGCGCCCGTCGAGCTGCGGAGGGCCCAGGCACCGCCGCAGCGGTGCTGGCTGGAGCGGGCTCCACCCGCCGCCCACCTTCTACTTAGAGAATGGCCGCGACGTCAAGGGGGGAGCGTCAGACGGGCGTTCTCGCGCAGCGGCGACGAGCTGCCGCCTCCTTCCTCTCCGCATCGAGCTGCCAGCGCCGCAGCCGCACCTCGAGGGCTCCCCCGTTCAAAGGAGCACCGGGGGTCGCGCTGCACAGGGGGCCCACATTTCGCAAGTCGGCATCCCAGAGCGTTGAGCATGTTTCTCGCCCGCGGGATCGGGGCGGGGCCTCCGGCCCTGTCGCCTGTGAGGCGGGGCACACTCACCGTCCTCCTCGCGCATAATCCTGTCGGCATCCCCATCGGAGAAGAACGACGTGCAGCTGAAGGACTTGAACGTGCGCCGCGCGGAGGTCACCGACTTGCGGATGCTACCCTCCAGCACAGTCAGGGCCTTCGTGATGTCGGGCATGTGTCGCGCCCACCCGCGCGGCGCCCCGCCACGCGCCCAGCCGCGCCTCCCGCGCCTCCACCGCCGCCCCCGACCGCCCCTCCCGCCTCGGTCGGCCACCCCTCCGGGGCGCCCGCACCACGGCGGATACCGCCCGCTCCCGCGATGCCGATCAGCAACGCGCGGAGCCGATTGGCGCAGGCGAGCCGAAAGATCGGTCGGGCGCCGATCGTGAGCACCGGCCGGCGGGGGGGCGCCGTGGAAACCCGGGCGGCGAGCGGGGGGGCCGGATCGGCTGGCGGCAGGCGCGGGGGCCGGCCGGGAAAGGGGGGGCGCGGTCCGGGTGCCGCCCGAAGATGCACCCGAACGCCCTAGCTGCTGACGGCCGGCGCGCCGGCGGCCTGGCGCGCGGAGCCCGTTGCCCAGCCTTTTTGCCGCCCGGTGCGCATCCTGGAGGGGCAAATAGGGATAATTCTGCTCCCGGGGCCGGGCCGCGCGTGGCAGGGCAAGTGCGCGTGTGACAAGATGCCGCCCTCGCCCTCGCACTGCGCGTTGGTTGTGCGCTGAAGTACTGGCGGGGAATTGTACGGGTGTGTGAAGGGCCGCTGCGGGCATTGATTGCGCTTCGCGACTCCTTCGTCCAAGTTTCTTTGGCGGAGCGCCAAGCGAAGCCAGTCGACCTTTAGTTTTCTTTTTTTTCTGCGATTAGAAAATGTTACATCATTTAGTGTTCAGCCAGAACCAAAGCCCTGACAGAAGATATGCGGGCCTCATGCCACCTAGCAAGAAATTGCAGGATGATGTGGACCCCAAGCAGGTGCTTGTATCTGAATGAATTCTTATTCTCGAAGTCTGAATCCAGCCAATCGGGCGTTCGACAACATGCCAAAACTCCGCCGTACGGGATATTCTTCTTCCCGACCGGCTCGCACACTGTCCGCAACAACTGGCAGTTGTTATTTTGGAATCGCTGGCGACGGACACCAAAAATGGAAGCACGTATTGGATGTGAGGTAATGTGCAGTACATGCTCACGTCCTTGATGTTGATCACCGTCCGTTCCGAAACGAAGCCGATGATCTTCAACTCAGTTTTGGCAACGCTTCACGACTTGAACCAACTGCTAAACCCGAGCGCGTTCCTCTCGACCCCAAAATTCCAACTCCGTGTACAAGGGTTGGTTGGGCAGTCGGGAGTAGAACAAAATAGGTGGAGGTAGTTGGGCCCTTTTCAATTAGCGAGGCTGCCAGCCAACCCAGTTCATCCCCGCCAAGGCTGCCCATTTGAAAGCATTGCTTAACTCTATTTAACATTCTGCTGAGAATGCACACACCAGGGCTGTTGCTGGATCACTGGCGCTAGTGCACCGGTAAAGGTGCTTTTAACGATTCAATTCCCCCCGGTGCCTTGCGCCACATTCGATTCCAGGAATTCGTTGCAGCTCAAGAGGCATTCGTCATCAAGCGGTGGCAGGTGACCTAAAGATAGTAGGAGATCAATAGGGAGACATTTGGCATTAGGCGAAATGCAGCATAACCTCAAGACCTAATGCGCTTGTTAGGCCTTTATCCCAAACCCCCTGAGAGAAACACCTCTGGCTCTGTGGCAGAATGTGTTTCTTCCTTACCGGTCCCCTTCATCTCCCCCCCCCCGTGTTCCCCACACGACAAGACATTACACTCACAACTGTACTGGTTTCCATAACCTCACCAATATAAGACCCGATTGGCGACCCACTTGAAATGTGCCCTTGCTTCGCATAGTACTTAATGCCACACTGATGGTGACTCAACCCTGAGTCAGCTCCCCTTTTCTCGTGCTCAACTCCCTCTCCATCCCACAACTAACCGAAACTCACTCTATGAGGGTGGGCCGGGTGGGTGCGAAGCAAGATTAAGGGAGGCGCCAAGGGTCACGCCCAAATAGCCGTTCTCACCTGCCGCCAAACCTCCCGCCAAACCCAAGGGCCAGCTTCACCGGTCCCCTTGCCTACGTCCAGGTTGCAAGGATCGCCCGGTTGCCCCTTGGATCTGGCGGTCAGAACTGACACCGGGTACAGGGGTGACAGAAAACGGCATTCGATGGCCCTGAAACGGTCCAGAAAGGTCGCCCGGCCCCGACTGGCCGCCGCGCCCCCACCCAGCGTCGTCCTTTTCAGAAACTCATCAGCAGGATAGTTAATTATGTGTTTTCCAGCGCGTTGCTCGCTGGATGCCCCTGAAACACCTCGTGTCACGGAAGGACGCCCTTGCGTCACCGTCAAGGCACTTAATAAGTGCCAGTTTTTCAGGCTGTTGCACAACGGCACAACCCCACCGCACCCCACAGGTACAGTGGAATCCACTTAGAGAAGCAACCGATCGCTTTGCTACAGAGCAATATGAGCGTGAGCATGTCTTGTGCGCCTGCAGTTTGCTCCCATTGTATATGTCGCAGTTGGCTGCCTCACAAGTCCTTGTACATGCCAATCGAATACACATGGTCCTCTCACGTAGACATGTGCGACCAACCCAACTACCGCCCAAAGTGTAGGGAGTGCAAGTGCTTGGGTCACCACCGATGTTGTTGGAGTCAGCCTAAAGTATCCGATGAATGACCAATATGGCAACATGCTGCTGGTATTGTGAACTACACCGTTCCCATCCAGGTAGGATTGCCATATCCACCCCGAGGGTCACAAAGCAGAAGATCCCTCCTCGAGATCAGCGTGCACATAGCCGCACCACCAGTGATCGTGCGTGCAGGGTGCACCAAGCGCCCTGAGGATGGGTCGAACAAGGCGCCTGCGGACGCTGCGCTCAGCCGATTGGCGCGTGCCGGTGGGGAATAATTCCAAAGGGGAAGCAACATGCCACTTCCGAAGGTCGCAACAGCGTAACCGCACAGTCGACCGCAGCTGTCTTGCCTGGTCAATTGGGTGAGCTATCCGCAGCATTGCGCGCATTACCCCGTGTGCGTCCCGCGCATCGCCGGTGGCCGGCCGTTTCCATTATCAGGTCTTCGGGGTAGTCGGAGCAGAGGCGGGGTCGGGGGAAGGGGTGCCAAGAGCGCGATGGACAGCAGAGCAGCTTCGAGTCTGGGCCCATCAGGAACCACTCCGCGGCGGGCGCAAGCGCCGGGATATCGGACATGATGTCATGGCGGGTGCGCTCGGCGACCGTGTGGATCTAGTGGTGCACCAGGGCGAAGGGGACCAGAGCTTGGGGGCCTCAAGGCCACGGGGGACGTCCGTCGCCGCCTGCACAGCTAATTCCTTGCGTCGCATTACACTCGCAACACTAGGAAAAAAAGGCCCAAATAACACGTGTTCAAACGTGTACAAAGTTTACGGGTCTGTGTTAATTCTGTGTTATTAGCGTGCACAACTTTGATGAAATGTGTTTTTTGTGTGTTCGCAGAAGTGTTATTTGGCACTTTTTTCCCAGTGCAAGGCACTGCGGGGACCTTGCACTCTGCAGGCGACGCCGGGCAGCAGGAACAGCGCAAGGACGGCCGATGGGGGGACGCGGGGGGGAGCGGCATTCCACTGACTGCATACCGCCACTCGCGGCAAACACTGCCCGGGCGACAGACACAGTCTGCACACCCACAGGCGGGTCAGAAACGGGGGGCGGCACGGGGACAGGCCGCGGATGGCCGACCTTAGCTCGTTATGGGAGACGAGCAGCTGCGCCCCAATCGCTGCGCGAGAAATGTTCGGACGAGAACCGTTCGGTTGGGCGTCGTGCGACAAGGAGGAAGCCGGTCAGCGGGCGAGGGCGGGGAGAAGCGGCGCGTCACTTAAGGCCCACGCGAGTTCCTTTTCGTGAGTGGGAGTGTGGGCAAAAGGGTTGGGCGGCCGTTTGGCCCTTGCCAGGAGAGACCAGAGGCACGCTCTGACACCAGTGTTTCGGTGACGCGCACTGGGAGAAGCTGATGATGGCCTTTTCAAATGTGGTGCCCTTCGGATGACCGAATAGCACCACCTGGAAATACAGCACCCACCAAACAAACAAGCCTCCAAGAAAAGATGCCGCTTTTTGTTGCGTGTGGGCGACTTCCGCGCCTGGTTCAATATTGAGCGCCTGATTCCATATTGCGATATGCGATACAATATGCGATACAATATGCGACTCAATTGAGTGACTGGTTCAATATTCAAGTTCAGATGGGCGATGGGATGCCGTCGCTGGTGCGGTGCCAATGTCGAGCAGGTTGGTCTTCTGTGGAAGGACGCAACCTGCCCAAACGCGGATAGTCTTGTGCACGGGCCATTTGCTAAGGTGCAAATACGGAGCTTGCTGCCTCCTGATTCTGTGCAGAAGCAACGTAAAGAAGCGCGCTGACTGGCAACAATCCGTGGCCCGGCAGGGACAGAGGGCCCCAAGGGCCCTGGAGCCAGGTACCGGCAATGCCCCCCGAAGCTGCAGAGTGCATCCCCACGATCTGAGGGTTGCCTCGGCAACACGATCGTGGCGTGACCCTTGCCAGAATCACCACCTTTGAACGAAAGCGAGCCATGAGTCACGTGCCACCGCCAGCAAAGCCTCACAAGTTTGTGCTCCGTCAAACGGTAAACAATTTTTACAAATCAGGGCGTTCCCTGCGCTTTGTACTTGGTCAACCAAGCCCGCCCAGGGCCCCCCTCAAGTGCCTTGAAGTGGGGGCGTCCCCTCCTAACGTTCTGGAGCCTCTGCAAAGGGCCTATGCTGTCAACAGGTGCTACATGGGTATCGTTCTTGACATGTTCTGTGAATGGATAAAGGCGGGGGAGGGAACGGAGCCATGGCCACGATCTGCGTCTTGAAACACAGATCTTCGAGGCCACCAAATATGCCGTTCGTTTATGTGCTGCCAACGCTGCTTATGTCCAAGATGGCGTGGCAAACGGCCTGCAGCTTCGATCCGTTCTGCCACTGCACAGTGGGCATCGCATGCCACGGGTGCTTAAACAAAAAAATAGCTTCCACCTTCCCCAAGCACCATGCTCTGGCGAGTGTCACACTGCAAGTGACAGCTTCACCGCCATGATGGCGGCTTTCGCCGCTTCACTTCCTTCAGCTCCTTTTTTAGCTTTCCGATCGCCTCTTCTTGCTGGTGCCGGATCTTGTTGGAGGAGCTCAGCTCCCCTTCACACTTGTGTAGCTGAATACGGGTGCGTTTGAGCTCCAGGCGCGTCTGCAATACATGTCCGATTCAAATCTTCAGCATGTGCACTTCGTAGCCTTTCCACCACGTCATGATTCTTAAATATTGCTGAACGATGGAGGGAAGCCTGAAATGCCACTTGCTAAACTGGAGCAAAGGTGGGGCGCTATGTTATGGGCGTCCTGTTCCTGCCATAATCTAGCTCCAGGCACAGAAGCAGTACATGCACCAGCCCAAACACACAGCCAAAAACGCATTATAGCAGCCGAGGACAGGGAGTGAGACACAACAAATTTCCAACATTCCGAATGCACAAGGCCTGACAGGCTGCTGGCCAAGTATGGCCCTGGGCACACCCATCGTTGCCCAACTATCATATTGACAATGCAGCAGAGCAGCAACTGCATTGTGCAACAAACCAACATGGAAACAAGACAAAAAAAAACTGTTAGACAACAGATTGCACTAAGCTGCTGTAGTTAATGCAGACAGTCTACCTTTTCAACACTAGGCCCACCACATAGTTTGCGCAGCAGCCAGTTCTTCATCTGCCAACGGAATGCTTGCAACTTCCTCGACCGCAGCTGCCAACAACTGCACAGTGGAGAACAATGCATACCTGCTTCAGTTCGTTCCAGGTATGGTTCTGGTTGCTGCGCTTAGAGCTGGCAGATGTTGAAGACCGGGCTGTTGACAACACGGACTTTGTGTCATCAGCGCTCCTCTTCTTGAGCTGGGTTTCCAGTTCCTTCAGGCGATGCTGCAGCTGGTCACCGCGGTTCTCGGCCTCAAGCAGCCGGCGCATCGTCTCTGTCAGGCGCAGCTGCAGATCACTGCCAACAGAATTCTGCCAAAATGCCATTTGTTAGCCCCACAGTAAAATCCAGTCCAGTACACAATGTCAATTCGTGCCACTAGGACCAACATCTCCTGCCTAAGGTGATTATCACTCCAATGTATTGCTTTCTAGTAGAGTAGGCACGTGCACAGAGGTCTCTACAATCATATCTGCTGGAGGTAAGAAACTAAATCAACTACAACTTCCAGGTCAGGACAACATCCTTGCGAATGCTGGCCGCGTCTGGTGGCTACCCACCTGTGCAACCTTGCCAGCACCACGTTCAATGGTGGACATGCTGGACCCTCTGACCCAGCGCGGTGACATCATGACCTTCTCAGACTCCTCTTCCGGCACTTTTGTAAGCACATCCTTACCAGTCTGGTCCGCATTCTCATCGATTGCCCCGAGGTTTGACCTCGTACCCATTGCTCGTGAGAGCACCAGGTGCTCCTCCAGCTGCTGCACCTTCTCCTGGCACTCGGACAGCTTGCAGAACATAATGAACTTCGACGTTGTTGCCTCGTTCAGCATCGACCGCAGCCTACACGTCTCCTCCTCATGGCGCCTCACCTCGTCCTGGAAGGTGTTCTTATACATCATCATTTTCTCGGACAAAAACTGCAGCTGCGACTGGCTGTCATGCAGCGCAAACTTTGCCTGGAACAGCTCCTTGGACAGCCTCGCGGCCCGGTTAGCCCTCTCCACCAATGCCACGTGCGTGGTGCGCATCCGGACCTGTGGGTGGTGGGCGCTCACAGCCGCCTCGGGGCCAGTCTCAGAGTCCGTGGAGGGCGTGGGTGAGTCCACGGCGGTTCGGTGGAAGGCGCCGTTGGATAGCCACACGACGCCCTCCGTGCTCGCTGCAGACTCCTGCTCCGCGCACTTCTCCTGATCTTGACTTCGGCCCTCAGAGGGGCCCTCCGTGTCGCCATGGCCACCTTCGCTCCGCTCCGAGTCCGTCACCGAAGACGGGCTGTCAGGCAAGTCGTCAAACACCGCCTCACTCTCCCCCGAATCCTCCGCGCTCTCCGCCGCGGCCTCCGCCTCGTTCTCGTCGATGGGCGGCAGCGCGCTGGCGCCGGACTTCGGCGTGTCGGCCTCGCACTCGCCGCACTCCTCCCGCGCCTCCGGCTCCCCCTCGCCCTCCGGCGTCTCGCGCGCCTCGCAGGCGTCCGGCGTCGGCCCGCGATGCGTGGGCAGCGCCCCGCCGAAGGGCAGATTCTCCATGCCCAGGTCCGCGTCCATGGACCTGATCCTGCTCCTGCCCAGCTTCCTGCCCCCCGCACCCCTGCGTCCCGCTTTATTGTCCCACCCGCCCCACGACTGCCCCCGCTTGTGCGCCCGCCTCCCCTCCCCATCCTCCCCGCCATCCGCCCCGTTCTTGCACTCGAACCGCCACTCCACCCCGCTACCCTTCCGGCCGGAGCCCGGCAGCTTGAGCAGGAACCTCGCATCCCGCTCCAGCCCCGGCCACTGCAGGACGCCCAGCTCGCTCAGCAGCGCGTCGCGCTCCGCGACCGCGGTCCTCAGCTCCTGCGCCAGGACCTCGATCTGCTTCTTGAGGGATTTGATGTGGTCGTCCAGCAGGCCGAGGCTGTGCCAGCGCGCGTCGCCGGCATCCCTCTCCGCCGGCGGCGCCTCCGTCTGGGCGCCCATCTCGCGGCGGGGTGCGCCGGGGCACCCCGGAAATTGGAACTAACTCCTGCCCTGCGGTCTACTGCCCAGAGGCGTTGGGGGCGCGGCTTCTCTTAGGATCATTCTGTCGGGCGCACAGAGGGAGCATCAGCCAGGCGGAGCGCACACCAAGCGGGCCGAGAGCAAGCGCGCCGCATCCGCAGAGCAGACGCCTATCGGGCCAGACCGCGAAGCGTGGGGACGCGCGACAGAAACCGGGAAGACAACGAAGCAGGAGGCGTGACGACCGTCGGGCACAAATTTCGGCTGGTTTTCGCATCAAACAGGGTGCCGAAGGCATCACCCTCGCCAACGGCTTTCATGGGCCGACGCACGCCACGACATCCCCGCGCCTCGGGGGGTCGAGAGAACGACACGCTCGTGGCCACATTCGAGTCTTCCCCTGGTAGCCAGGTCAAGGGCATGATCAGGGCGGGTGACAGCGCCGATCGGGAGGCCGCGCCGCGAAGGTGGCGGCGCCATCGGACGCCGAGAGGGGTCTGCTCACCCCGGCGCGCATGCCGAGCAAGATGACGTCGGGGCGCGAGTGGAGCGCGAGAAGGACTGGTGATCGAAACTTTTAGGCGCATAGGCACCCGCGGCGGGTCGAGCCTGGATATTACGACGGCCGGCTTTCGGCCCATGGCGGGCCCTCGCGGTTTCGGAGATGCAAAGCGGGCGAACGGGGGCCCCTCGCTGGGGCCCGACAGTCACCGGCGTCCGAGGTTGCAGGACGGGCGCCAAAATCGCCCACCCCGCAGGCGGTCACGCCCGGGAGGGCGCCGCAACGCCACCGGGAACACCCGGCTGGGCCGACGCATCCGGCGCTCCGCGGGCGTCGGCGGCCGCGATAATCGCCGCGAGGTGACAGGCAAGGTCGCCACGCGAGCGCGGGGGTTGGGCGACGGGCATGCGGGCCCGCGAACGGCGCCCTTGCCAGCCCGATCGGCGGCAGCGGCGCCATCAACGACGGCATTTCCACGAGGCGCGGCATGGGGCCCGTCGCGGGGCCCCTCCCTCTCCCAGCATCCTACCCGCCACCGTCCAACCGTCTCGGCGCGGTGTGAGCCACGCCCCGCCAGGCCCCAGCCGCCCTCGACGAGAGGCACGGAAAGGAAACGATCCGACGAGCCCCTTGGGACTCTCGGGGCCGCCGCCGGTGGCCGCACCCGAGGCCCTGCAGTCCGCCCCTCTCTCTCCGACCTCTCCGGACCTCCCCCGCCTAGCTCAGGGTCAACTCAACCCGCCCGCGCCCGCGCGGAGGCGCCACCGAAATATGACGAGGCGGCGCCGGGCAGCCGACTCAAATGGCGGAGCGCCCTGAGGGCACATCGAATGGATTAGTCAGCGCGGCTGGGGGGAGAGGGGCGACGGGGAGGGTGGGTTCTGCGCGAGTCGTGCGGGATGGGCGGCCTTCCAATTGGGGCTGCCAGGGATTTGTTGGCTGTTGTACCGGTTGTTGGCGGAGTAGTTCCCGGACCGCGAACACTAAGCTACTACGCTGCCCAGTGCCGTGCCAGCTTTCAGCGAAGAACCCCATGGCAGTAAGTTTTACGCTTGCACTTGCACCACGCTTCGAGCAACGGTCAT